AAGGTACAGAATGACCACCATTAAAAGCATGTTAGGACTCTGGAAAAAGTCACTTAAAGGAAGAAAGGTCAGAGATTCATCAAGTGATGAATATAATTCATGGAATGGATGGGAGTCATTGTTTGTTGCTCCTTCAAGGGTTTAGAGCCAGCAGGTGTGAAATAAAGCTAATCAGGTACACATTAATAATTAACAAAAGGAGACAGTTCTTCACCTGACAAGGTGTAGAAGTCCTTGTTCCTGGATGATCTACATGTTAAAGTTATGTATGAGTTAAAAGGGAGTCTGGATAAGTTCACGTATAAAAATCTGTTGGTAACTAAGGGTGCAGAACTGGCATTCAGCCTAGGGAACTCCTGATCAAAATATCAAGTCCTGGGGAAATAAGATCTTTACTTGGCCTTTGGTTCATACTAAGAACCCACTTTCAGGTACAAGATACAGGACTAGAAGTGGTATTGGTTTGATCTGCAGAGGCTGCTTTTATCTTCATATAGTCTATATTTTTATTCTGGCTCAAGTCTTTTATTGGATTTTATCCAGCTGACAAGACCTTACTTACTTACAGGCACATGCTCAGGCACATGATGGGATTCTGGGGCTTGTCCTGGGCAGGGCCAGGAGAGGGACTTGAAGATCCTTGGGAAGTTCCTTCCGCATCAGGATATTCTGTGCTTATACGCACTTCCCTTCTCGGCTAGGTTGTTGGGCTCTTCGGGGGCTTTTGCAGAGGGGTGAGATCAAAGGAAACATCTCCTGATGTTTGAGCTTTTTCAATTACTATATCAAATATATCACGTTGCTTGTTAGATGACAGCTTAGGACTTACTGTCTGCATGATGTAGTTTACATGGTCTAGTTAGTCCTGTTGGAACAACTTCCTGAAACAATACTACAGAAATTCAGAGGGCAGTAACATATGTAGACCTCACAATAGGTGAGCTAAGGAAATTTTTAATTTATCTAAGTAGTTTTTTTGCAGAGTCATAATGTTACTATTCAGACCCATTTTAACTACGATTTTAGTATCTCTCTGTTCCACTTCTCATTACCATCATATGAATAAGATTTTAAATCTACCCTGCAACTGTTTCCATGAGACAGTATTCTTTACAGAATAAGCCACAATGCTGGAAATAGGGAGGTTTCTGAATTCTCATTTCAGCTTTGTGACTGATTCACATGACTTTGAACAAATCATGTAAGTATCTGTGCTGTCTCTAAGTTGAAGATAACAGCAGCCTTATGGGAATGCTTTTAAAGTAAACTATGTAAAATTCTATGAAGATTTAAATTGTGATTTACTAGTATTTTTGAAATACTGTTTTAGGGATGGAAAAGCATGCTAATGAACCTTGAGTGCATAGAACAAGTTATGTTTTATGGCTGGCTCAAAGTGGTCTGTCATATGAATCAGAATGTGTGGGATGCAAGTGGAGTCTATGTGCAGATGGGGTTTATTCGTTCTCTGTATTTCTCGTGGTGCTCATGAGGAACAAATATCTGCCTTCATCTAGTTCAGTGAGAAAGCCTGTTCTAGGACTTCTGCAGAACTCCATATGCTAACATTGTTTATTTTATACACATAACAATTGTATCTGGACGTGCCAAGCCCCCTCTAACCTACCAGCCTGACAGGTGATGCTGTGGTGCAGCCTGGGTTGTAGTTCCCCTAAATGTGACTGTGAGAATGCTCTGAGTTACTTCTCTGTAGAAACTGCAGCGCATCCAAGAGGGAAGTTCCGTGCCCAGGTATTCATTTGAGATATTGCCAAGTTATGCAGTGAAATCTGGGATCTGAAAAGCTCTGTATTTTTACAGATCAGACATACACTGAAAAGATATAAATAGCAGCTGATCCAAACAGTTCCTGCCCTAAAGAGCTTCTGGGTGTTGCAAGTTGAATGGAAATAAGGCATTGCTGTAAGATAGGCAAAAGCTATTTCCTTTTATTACATGGCTCTCACAGACTTATTTCCTTAGAGATATTTTCCGTGGAAGCCTAAACTCTAAGAACTTGTGTAGTAAAATGGGGATTTTTTCACTTTCTAGTAATGAAGTCACACATATTTATAGCATTATCATGTAAGAAGCCCAAGTAACCATTACTAATTAGAAAGAGGGGGAAGATACTCCTCATTTTACTGAGGAAATGGAGCCGTGATGAATTAAAGGGACTTTCCCTGACTCACAAGAAACTTAATGTGGAGCTAGAAATTGAGCCCAGACCTCCTGAAATTCAGTTCACTGTTTCAGTCATATGACCATCCTTTTCCAAGTATCAAATATGTACACAAGGCTCTCCAGTTTAGTCTTCACATTAGTTTCCAATGAAACTTTGCCCTTTCACTCATTTCAGCAAAAAGGCAAACATTTGCCCATTTGTCTCAATAGTAAGTAGAAACTGCTCTCTATACAGATGACAATTTCCTCTCCATTCACATGCTTCTCATCCTCGTATTAAAGCCAGCCTGTGTCAGCAACGGCCCGTTTAAATTAGAAACCAAATAATATTTCAGGGATGCCTTGGGCTGTCTTGTGGAGAGGGTTCTTTGCAACCCTTGCCAGTTACTACTTGGTGGTCCTGCCAATCCTTGCTAAGTTTCAAAACAGAAGTTGCTCAAGCTGGAGCAGCGCTGCTTGCCCGGCATACGCAGCTGGACAGCTGGAGAGCCGGGACCCAGCGAGGCCTGGTGCTCAACCAGGCACAGTTCACCAGACCTTGTAAAGGGACAGGGGAGTGGCACTGTCCTAATTGTTAACATTCCTCCTCTGCAAGACTTCTCCTGATACTCATTTAATAAGCCTGGGCTCATGAAGTCTAAACAATTTAGGCAATCAAGTGGTAGCTGATGTGTATGTGGAGATAGAGATGCAGCCAGACTAAGCGAAGAGTGAAATGCCTAATTTCTGACTTTGCCAAGCTTTATCTGGCAGTTGCAGATGAAGTAATAGCTCAGGCAGCTGTGCCCAAGAACAGAATTTATGCTGGGAGTACCTCAGGAGCTGTACTTCAGGCCAGGTTTGCAAGCCACAGCTCCTACTTGAGTGCGCATGGCTCGTCTGCCAGCGTGGTTCTTCTCACACAGTGAGTAATACTCATAAGCTCCAGCCTGAAAGCTCCTGCCAGTGGCAACAAAAATTAGGGATGTGGTATTGCTGTGGTCTCAGGGAGACAAAAGGCAGGTTCAGCAGAAACTGACTGAAACATGCAGGTATTCCTAAGTCACAGCAACAGTTGTTTGTAAATAAGTACACCGTCATATGTAGAAAGGAGGGAGCATCTAGAGATGCTGTGTGTGTAGGTTTGTTATTTTCTGTGCAGCTGTTGCTCAGTATTTTAGCATTAAAAGCATCATTGCCTTCATTAGCATTTCATTCAGAATTATTTTCAGCTCATAGTGGAGCAGGGAGATATGGTAACTAGATGTTAAACTTTCATTGATGGGATGAAGAGACCTGAGGTTCAAACTGGAAATGGGACTTGAGTGAACATGGAACAGGGAGGAAAAATGAATTTTCATGAACCTGGGAAATGGTTTTCGTTAAAAAGAAAGAGCACCACAATGCACTAAATTTCTATAGTTTCTCAAGAAAAATAAAAGAAACATTGTTTCAGCTCATCTTTAAAATACACAAAGGAAAGGCAGTGCCAAAAAGGAGAGTATTTTTACTGATTGTACTTTCAGTGTTCTCTTGTTAATGGTCTTTTTCTCGTAAGAGGTCGTTTACCGTGTTGGATTCAAAGAGATCGACTCTGCATAGTTTTAGAATAACTTCATTAATGTTTTTTTGATAACTTCTGCTTATCAGCCTAAGGCTTATTGGCCATAACTGCATTGTGAGCTGAGTAAATTGGTTGTTAGTGCATTTGCAAACAGTTCAGCCTGATTACATTCATCTAAGCACCAATTTTACAGCTGTGTCAGTGGGGCCATTAGAGGACTCGAGCAAGCAAGCGGGCAGGCACCCTGCACATACCTCTCTCAGCATCGTGATTTACTGCCTCTATCTGCTGCCTTTTACAGCTGTGTGCTGGCTAGTGTCCCTGTCTTGCTGCTTAGCTTTTTTCAGTCCTGTAATGCTACATCCTTACTGTGGAATCTGAATCTGACTTTGCCACTGGAAAACGGCCTGTGGCTTTTCTAAAGTTCTTTTTCCATCTTCCTTGTGCTTAGAAAACAAACTGGTAGGGGTCATAATAGGTGGACACAAATCCTTTTCTTTTAACCCACTTATTTTTGACTACTCTGTGTTCTTTGACCATTTCCCAAGGTTTCTCTTGTGTTTCGATGTGACTTAGCCTGATGTCTGAAAGCTTTACTGTTAATTATTATTTTTGACAGTTACGACATTGATATTCCACCCTCCCATAGTATCCTCTGACCAGCAGGTATTAGAATGCACAAAGATATGCCTAAAATGTCACAAAGGAAAGGAATGCACATCACATATATGTGAATTAGTTCAGATAAGCAGAGTACAGTATTTCAAGGAGACACAACAAGCATCACTGACTTGAATATCTGCAGTGAGAAACAGTTTTGGAGTAATTTCTGATTATGGAGTCAGTACATTAAAACAATATGAAGTAATAACTTGCAATTTTTTGCTAAGCTGAGATTCACATGTAGATGGATTAATCTAATTAAATCAACAAAACATTGGCTATTGGGATGGAAGGATTTGAAGTGCACAAGGAAGGTGGGAGGAGGACACCTACAAGAGCTAAGTGTCTAAACAAGGATACTCTGAAAAGCATTTGGCTATGGTGGTCTTCTGGAGGCTGAGTAGTTGCTTCTTTTTTGCTTCAGAATAAAAAGGGAAAAGGGGCCATGTGGCATCCTGGTTGATAGCAGCTTATGTTATTTGACTTGTAAGAGATAATAGTTTCAGAACTCTGACATTGTTCCTTTGTTTTCTCACTAATTAATACGTAAACAGAATAAAAGTATCATCCTTAACTGTGGCTGAAGGTTCATATGTTAATATTTTTTCAGGTGGAACTTGCAGAAATTTGCACAAAGAGTGAACGTTACATTGGCACAGAAGGTGGAGGGATGGACCAGTCAATCTCTTTTCTGGCAGAAGAAGGAACTGTATGTCTACCTTTGTAATCTAAACTAACAATGTAATATTAATTTATGTAAGCAAAATAAACCTGCATTAGTGTCAGGAAGAAAGACAAGACTAGAAACTGGAATACCCTAATAAACAGTATAAGCACCATTGGTATACGATGAATCAGGAATTAAACTTACAAACTTGGGTACAGTCAAGTACGACAAGTTTGAATTAATATGATGAGGAAAATCAGAAATGGTAAGGAGGAAGGAAAAGAAGTGGGGAAAGATCTACTCTAGAAGGGCACCAGGTTCCACTATTTGGCTAATTCATACTGAACTTAGAATGTTTCCCATATAATGAAATCTGAATGGTCGGCATGCCTTGTATTCAGTGCAAATGGGATAATTATTACAAAAATGCTTTCTTGAAACTTCTTATAACCAAACAGTTCTAGGAAGTTTTGCCAGGTTCAGTTACAAAGACAATGGAGACTTTTTTTTCACCAGTTTTGCTAATTCCAGACAATTCTGTGGCTGGATTTTGATGCAGAAGGCATTCAGCAGTCTTAAACGTGGTGACAGAAGGTGAACTAGCTGTGGTAAACAGGACCTGCCAAGTTATGCATGAGTGCTTGCAGTGGAATTTACAGTGAGGTTCATCTGCTGTCCCAGAAGGTGCACAGGACTGCAACTGTTCAAACCTCAGACCTGTCAGAATACTTTTATTGGAATTAATGTAGTGTTTCATAACAACCTTTACTTTCCTTATGATTGTGGCATTATATCTCTGCAGCTTTTGTTCCTTAATGACATGTCTTGGATGGGCTTACACAGAAAAAAACCTATTTCCTAGAATTACACCAAACATTTAATGCCATCATGAGACACATGTATTTTCAATTTCACATCACCTGTACCTACTCTACACCTTTCCTTCATGTTTTTACTGTTAGTGCTAAAAACACAGGGCATGAATAATGAAAGAAGGAAGCAGCATATTATCCTGCCATACACAGAGATGATTATGTAAGTGGAAGCTTTTCTGATATATAGCAGTGGCGACCAAAAAGACAAAGAAAACGTTAGAACGGATGAGAAAAGAATTGTGAACAAACCAGAAAAATATTCTTGCTTCAGTGTACTTGCAGCTGAATGCAGCTTTAGCCTCCCATCTTAAAAAACCAAGAAAAGGACACTGAGGATTATCAAAGTTGTTTTTTTAAATATGAGCATTGACTGAGCAATTAAGAACTTTTCAGCTTGGAAAAGAAGAAGCTTTGAGGGTGATACTTTGTAAATTCCCTAAACAAGTAAAGAGAAGGTAAATGGAGGATTCAATGTTTTTCATCACTGAAGAACTAATAGAAACACAGTGACATTAGCAAGCAGCTTGTAAGAAACAAACAAGGAAGTTTGGGTTTTTTTCCCAAAACATTCATGTTAAATTGAGAAATACCATACATTGTGGAAGGCAGAAGTTTTAAAAGGATTCAAAAAAGACCTTTGTGGATACACTAAGAGAGTATTAAACTATATGCAGCTATTTAACATAATAGTCAGATATTTCTTCCAGTGTAAGTATAACCATTGTAATCTTTGCTTATGGGAATCTGGAAAAACATTTCCCTAGAAAAGATTGCTTTGTATATGTTCTATTTTTATATTCCCCCTAAATAGCCATTTATGGCTACTGTCAGAATCAGGACACTAGACCAGCTTAGTGGTACATTCTGGTCTAATGTAGCAGATCCTAAAGGGTATATTTAAATGTAAGCAAGTCTGTCTGTCTTGATAGTAATTCTGTGATGGGGTCCAGAATCTCAATGGCAGGGAGTAACACATATGCTGTACATAATGTACAAGCAGATTTGTCATTGTTTATTTAGCACTCTAGCTGCTCAAGGGACTCTCTGGGAGTGAACAATGCCAAAACCAGTAAGATGTCCCTGCTTGCACAGTTACAGTCTATTCTAAGAAGCCAAAACAGGGCACATGATTTACAACTTAACCCAGTGAAAAACCAGATGTGAATTTAATCTCTTGATTACATTACATCCTGAATTATTTAATTAATGGATGCCTAACTTATTCCATGAAAAGGTCACAAATGTTGGGAACATCTTACACAGCTTGTGTAAGCATGTGTGAGGCAAGACAGTCTCTTATGTCAGAAAGGAAGAAACAGTAACTACATTCTTACACATAGTTTTATTTAGTTGCTTGGTTTGATTGTCTGTATGTACCATGATCACTGCCTCAAATCAGTCCTAAAATTGGTACCACATTGTACCTCTGTCACTGTGGTGCAAAATGAGAAGACTGAGGGGGAGATGGACATTGATGAAGGGGTAGGGAATGCAAAGACCCTTGTTTCTAGTGGCATGCACATTAGCTTCAGCCAGGCCTGGTACTTCTCTGCAGATCAAAGTGAAACTGTTGTCTTAAAACAGGCAAGAAAAATAGGTTGGGTGGGGTTCTGTAAAATGCTGAAAAAACCCAAAGACTTAATGGAAACATTTTAAAATCCAGCTACAGGGAAGGGTTTGAAATGTATGTGTAACTTGACCAATGAGGTTAAATCTCTTTTCTGGCTGTTTCATGTCAGTTTTCTTTCCTCAACTGTGCCTGGATTTTCAAGAGAAAAAACATGCAAATTTGCATTTGATTTATAGAACTAAGTGCACTGTTAGCCAGTAGTAAATGAAAACTAACCATTCATTTTTCTTTCAATAGGCCAAGTTGATAGAGTTCAGTCCACTGAGGGCAACTGATGTTAGACTTCCAAGTGGAGCAACGTTTGTTATTGCTAACAGTTGTGTTGAAATGAATAAAGCAGCAACTTCTCATTACAATATTAGGGTAATGGAGTGTCGGCTGGCTACAAAGGTAACACATGGCTTATGTCAAACTCTAATGAAACCTTCATCTAAATATGTGCTTTTTTCCAATTCTGACCAGTTGTGTCTTTCACACCTGGCTAGGTGCTACTCTTAGTATAATTTTTCTTTCCAGAACCAGACACTTCCATATGCAGGAGCAGAACTCCTGCTGAGCTTAATGGAAGTGCAAGGACTGTGTCCTTATATAGAAAATTATGTGATTTAGTTGTATTAAATTCATTTTTATTATATTTCAGTGGAGGAAATAAGTCTATTTCAGAATAAAAAATATTCCCAGTTAATAAGATAGACTGGTTCTAATTAAAGGTGATTAATGACAAATAATGGAAAGCAACCAGTATGGTCATGCGTTTATATGTTTATATGTATATATGGCAATAGATGTGTATTTTCTAGGATTTAGAGAGCATCCAAGCTAATAGTTGAAGGCCTGGAAGTAATATTAGAAATGCTGAATAGCAGCATGTATCTCAGTGTAAAGTTTAAAAACAGGCTTGAATGAAACCCCAACATTTAGGATGTACTGCCAGTTTACAGCTTGAAATGATCTCTAAAATGTGTGGAAATTGAACAGGGGAAATCTGCTTTAATTCTGGATTTTGTATGTTTAGGAGTATGTAGATACAGGGTTTGATTTGAGTTCTTTATGGGAAGACAGTACATTTTTCTTTGATAAGAGTAAATGAGGAGTAAGCATGAAGATTCACTGCAGTGTACCCAATACAGGGTGGGAAGGAACAGAATGTGGGTCACAAAGTCTAGAAGAAAGCTTTGAAAAATGCAGTGTGGAACTCCTTGCCACAGAACATTAGACCAATATCTGATCATTATTCAAAAGTACTTTGAACATCTGTTGTCATCGTGATTCCATTAAAGAATAATTTTTTACAAGTTTTAGTTAGTGCTAAAAAAATAGTTGAAGATCTGATCAGACGTTGACAAAATGTATTATAAAATAATGTGCTGAGATATTTTCTGAGGAGGGAAGCTAGACTTCAGATGACTTTTTAAATGGGCTTTAAACTCAAGTATCAAAGGAATAGTTGCATTTCAGTTGTATCTAAGACATGGTAAAAGAAATAGCACCAATGACCATAGTTAAAGATGTTGTCACTGAAGTTAATAAGGTTTTTAAGCCATTAAGAAAATGAAGATAAGGACCTGTCTATTTTTAAGTTCTGTTATAACAGATAAATCTCTAATTTGGGATTGCTAATGGACAAAATATACGTTTTTAAGAGGAGCTTATTTCTTTTGTAGATTCTTTTTTTTTTTTTTGCATAAGCAATAGAGAGCCTTCACAGATTATCTATTCTAAAAGGCACTGTACAACGAGTGCATTAAGTTGTGTGAGCTTTTGAAGTTATTGTTCCATATACTAGATTTTGTGAATTGAATCACAGTTTTCTAAATGGCTTTAAATTACTAGTCCTGTACAGTATACTGAAGAGGTAGTAAGGAAACATCTTTTCTTTTACATTCCTGTTAGCTATGATGCAATCTCTAAAAATGTACTTTTAGCAGATGCTCAATTGTAAGGAGACTAACAACATACACCTGTCTGTTTTTAAACATATGCTACCCAGATGGAAAGCTGCACACACTATAAAAATACATTGAGCCAGGAAAAGACTGTCTTTAGGGAAGAGGTCACAGTGGGGTGAAGGAGGGCAGGTATGTAAGTGGAAACAGCGAAGTCTTTTAAGCACCATTAAGCTAATGGAACTATGAACTAACGTGCTGGGCCTTGCAATCATGCTTTAAAAGAAATTCTCATTCTAAGTGCCTTAGGATAGGCTTTTTCCCCCCTTTTCTGCTTTAGGTCATTCTAGAATTTCATCCTGCTTTACTGCATAGGTAAAGATGCCAACAGGACATATCCCTCCTAGCATTAGTGTGGAACACTTTGCTATCAGTCTGTTCTACAGCAAGTTCTTGATCATTCTGGCAAATTATCTTTCTTAGATTCTGTTTCTTTCCTTTTCATCCAGAGGATCGTTCTTTTGCCTTTCTCTTCCCCTTTCTCAGTTTTTGTAGCAGGCCCTGAGTGCTGTCCTGCACTCTGTCACAGTGAGTTTCCTGTCCCTCCCCGGCTGGCGAGAGCAGGGCTGGGACGCCGCGCTCCCCCTGCTTCGCCCTCCGCGTGGTGTGGGGCCAGCAGTGTCTGCACAGCCACCCTCAGCTCCTGGGCACAGTGCTCAGGTGGTGTTATAGAAATGTTATGTCTAAGGAAGTGATGCTGCTGTAAAAGTATTCCTGGAATTACCCCTAGTCAGACTTTCTTGTATTTATATTTGTCCCATCATTTACCAAGTATGTTTTCCTCTCAGTTACTTAGAGTTCTCCAGTGTGCCTATGTTGAACAATAAAGAAAAACAAAGCCCAAAGATTCTACATCCAGGCAGTTAAGAGCTGCTTGATGTCCATATCTTTAATCAGTCCAGTCAGAGATCATCAAGAAAATATCCAGCTGTGGGAGAAATATTTGGATTAGTTTTTGTACATTAAAGAGATGGGTTTTTTTTCCCATTTCTGTTCCATGTCCATTAAAATTCATGCTGCTGCAGCTAGACTGTTTTCAAAAACCATTTCTGTTTGCCCATAATACTTTTCCCAGTGCTGTTAGAGTCAAAACTTTGCTATAAGCAGGACAGACTTTTCCAGCAAAGCTGTGCCCGCTGGCCCACCGGGGTCAGTTTCCTTTTGGAACATTTGACCTGTAAAACCCCACTGTAGCTGGCTTGCCTGAAATACAGCATCTCCCTTGAAGAAATGGGAACAGATGTGACAATGCATGTGGCATATTTCTGCAGGGGATTATTTATTAAAAAAGGAAGTACAAAAAATTTTATTGCCTTATAGAATACTATTGTTTGTAAATTCTGTTTAACTCCTTGTAATAAAGTCCAGGGGATTCTGAATATTGGGATTAAAGCATCAGGAAAATAATTTCCATTCATTTAGCACTTTGAAGAAGATGCATATGCACCAACATATATTTAAGTAAAATGAAGCAGTAATTTTTATTCTAACTTAACAGTAAGTAAGCTAAAATAAAAATTACATAAAGACTGTAGAGTTGTAGGTATTCAGAGCCTTTAAAAAGGAGGCCAGAAGTGACTTAACCAGTCTATTACAGAAAAAATTGTCTCATGCTGATTTCTGCGTTAGGCACTAAACAGTTCTGTTTCTTTCTCTACCACTGAACTTGTAAAATTGTGTTTTAATGGAAACAAAGTTATATGATTAGGATTTTGTTTGTTTTGCTCTGCTGAGCCTCACATAAATCTCAGCAAGTCACTAGATGGCACCAAAAGTAGTTAATTTTTAGATACTGTAATAAAGCAAAACTGGAAGAGCCCCTGCAAAAAAAGCACTGTTGGGGGACAGTAAGAATCTACACCGGATAGCTGGGCAGCAGATCTGCTTAAATGTCATGTTGTAACTTTGCAGAAAGTAAATCAAATATTTTTCAGATATTTATGTAAATCCTACGACTTTTTTAACCCAGAAAATTAAATGGCTTAGCTGAATCAAGACAAATGATTTCAAACCAATCTCAGTCCAAACCCGTGCTTATTGAAAAGAATAAAACACGCTGGGTGAAATCCTGGCCTTGTTGATAAAAGGTTTGAATGCTGATTTGTATAGAAAAAGGATTTCATTCCCTGGCTTTTCTGTACTGGTTTAAACTCTTTCCTGACATACAGCTTGATCTAGAAGTTTTAAACTCAATTTAAATGGTGCAGCACTGGACATACGCCATGTGCCTATGAACACAGTAAAATAACAATGCTGTGTACCTGCTAATCTTTGTTTTACTTTGTAATCTGTTGAAATTGCAGGTGCTATGTCAATGACCACTGACTATTCTTCTATAATTCATATCATCAAAATATTTCACCTTATGAGGCAAGCTGCTTTACCATTTTTATTAGACACATGGGAGCATCGACACATATTTCAGCCTTCCAGAGAAAAGCCTGTTGGACATTCTGTCTTTCAGGATTCTGGTGTGTTGTAGTAACGACTGTCAACTTCATAAACATCACAAAGATACACAAAGCATGGCATCATTGCCAGGAGTGGGGAAAGCAGATCCAACTATAATTAATGAATATCACAGCAACCATGTAGGAATGGAACATATTCAGTCCTACATTGTACCATTCCTGTAACGGCTCAAAAATTCCTTTAAATTAGATGTTTAAGAAGGTACTTAAATTTTACTTAAAACTCCAGAGATCGAGAAAGGTTATGGTTATTCTCCCCACAAATCTTACGACCACTTTCATATTTTTAAGGCTATTATGAGAAAAGGTTGTAATGACAATCTCAAAAGTTCATCAGAAAATTCCAGGAGCGTATTGGAAATGTCAAACTAAAATGTTAGAGCAAATACTAATAGTATGGAAATAAACTTTTTAAGGACTTCTAGTGATATAACATCATAGCATTTGTATAAACAGTTGTCCAGATGGGATTGTAAAAGGTTAGTAAGTGCTTGAAGTAACAAAGTCCATGGAAGAGGATAAATCACTGATGTGATGTCACACAAATAATGCCAGTAGGGCTTTACAGACAGTATCTGATTTGTGGGAAGAATACCTGTCATTCACAGACCTTTAATAATAAATATATGTATTGACTACTCTGTACTGATAGTAAGTAGGTTCTGATGGTTCTCAATTAAGAAGTGAAAACAGAAAATGGGCCTTAAAGATATTTATGGACAATAAAAGTTTTAAACAGGAAAGCACAATGTTTTTCTCTTTTCTTTGTTTTGTTTTTTTTTTTTTTAATTTTAGCTTCTCTCAAAGTCAAAAGGCTTGGAGTGGAGAAAAATGTTGAGACTCCATGATGTGCAAACCAAGCTAGGAGTTAGCCTAGAGGAAATGCTGACCATTGTGGAGGAGGTATTACATCCTGAGCCTTACAGCGCAGAGGAAATTTGTAAATGCCTGGGAATTAGCCTGGAGGAGCTCCACTCTCAGATCCTTAGTCAAAACATGCAAGATGGTAAGCATATATGAAATGGTGGGGTTTACTGCACAATGTTTGTATTATATAAAAGTTTTATGCATTAATAAGTAGTTCAAGTGGAAGTCTTGCCAGAATACTTGGCTGGAATCTTGGTTGGGAAGTGAAAGAATTGATACCATCATCAACTGATATTTTCATTCTAACTTCTAACTTAAAATAGAGCAAACTTTGATTTTGATTGAACTGTTCACAAAGTGATGAAAATAGCAGATCATTTAACTGGTGTTCAAGGCCAGCATGGATGGGCTTGTGCTTCTGTTCTTAACTGATAAATACATGATCACTTCCTAAAACAGTCACTGGGCAGCAAGTCTCAATCTTTCCTGAGAAAGTTTCTGTCACTATTACTATTTCTTTTTCTTCCAGGAAGATGTTGGTGGAGATGAACAATTTACTATCTAAAGTGTTTCCCATGTGTTATTGTTTAGGATTATACCACGCAGTCATGAGCATTGTCATACATTAAATGTATCCTGGATTCATACAGTAGGGTTGCTAATAATACCAAATAATAGAGAATTTATGAAATATTTGTTGATTTTCATAACAGGTTTCCAATTGAGATCATAATCTTTCTGTAAGAACTATACAGAATCCTTCTTCCTTGTTTCCATTCTGTAGCATTAATACCTGTATTCTTTTGGAGTCAAATGACTCCAAAAATCATCATCACTTATCAGTCCTTCCCAAGACTGCTTTCAGGAATATGTACATTGGATGTATATAGATCTGTAACATACCTATCTATACTGACACTTACTTAAATAATCCATTCATCTGGAGTGATTGTAAATTTTATATATTAACCGAGGACCAGGTCCTGAATCTTCAACCTTTTGGCACCCCAGTGGTATCAGACAGCATGAAACTGTCTTATTGTCTAATTACACTGCCAGAAGACACCAGGATGGAATAAGATATCTTAAGCCAGCTCTTTATCTCCATAGAAAGAGTTTGGATAACTTTGTGCTGTCTGTTCATGAGGAATATATGAACCATGTACCTGCACTCTGCAGCATTTGCCTGGGAAACTGCAAGGTTGTAAATCTTACACTGTCCTTGCACTCTCCCCTTTATGAAGCAATGCAAGACTATTCACTTACAGATGTTTATACTCCTTATACCTGGTTTATAAAACAAAATTCTACAGTTCTACAAAATTGAGTTGCTTATACAAGTTATCTTGATTTTTTTTTTCAAAAAACATAGTCTAGATGAAAAATTTAGACATAAAAGCCATAGAAGAAACTCAAAGGAAATTTTATACTGTAGCTCTGAATACCATTTGCAGATGTTTGCTGAACAGAATCTCTTAAACTTGCATGACCATGATTTCATTTGATAAGACCAATTAAAAAGGATTATGCTGAAAGCGTTTTTGCATGCACAATATAAAATTAAATAACAGATTTCTGTAAAACATGCAGAAGAAACAAGACAGACCTAGAAAGAATCTGCTGTGTTTGTTACACACTGTACAGATTACACATTATGTTGGCTTTGGAACACCAGAGGCTGTTTGAAGAAAACATTTTTCTTACTTCCTGTCCACTTTCCCACTCTATTTTAATGACAATGCCTGGCTTCTTCATGTGAGAGAGAAAACATACTGTCAAATAAGTAACCTCTTCAGAGGATTTCAGAGTGTCATTGAATTTCTTTTTTCAACATGAAGAACAAACCATAATATTTAGGTTTATATCTTTTCATGCCCAGGGCTTGTTACAAGTACTGTTTTGTATTGGCATTATGTCTCATGTTTAAGGATCTAAAAGTGCTCTGTACATACTAACTTAGCCTTAAGTCCAGCTTCCCCTCCTGTACTCCTCCAGTGATAGTACTGTATACTTACATAAAGTTTTATCACTATGTAAGGGTGACCAGATAAAAACTCCATGTCTCAAAGGAACATTCTATGGACAGCCTTTGGTCAAGTCCCAGGCCAGGTCTGGAAGCCCACAGCAACTCTGCATCCCTTTTACAGCAAGTATTCAAGGATTTCTACAGTTCCCCACTGTACAGCCCATTCGTTGCCCACGTTTGGAGAAGTACAGATGGTGTATAAAGCCTCTCTAAACTTCTTGCAGTTGTTCTTTGGTCAACTCAAAATCCTGAGTTTAAAGCTCCCTTGCAAATGTTTACACATGGATTGCACTTGTGGCTTCTGAACATCTCTAGAAAAATAATATTTATTACTTTCTAAGGTGCACTGTGCCATAATTTTGGCTTGGACTCGACTGCTTCACAGAACACATAGTGTGTGGTGATTGTGGGACATTAAGTATTTATAAGCTTGGCCACAAAAGGATATTCTCCTGTAAAACACTGTATTCCTTTAACCATGAAATGTTTTTTCTTCTTAAATGAGGTATTTTTTAAACCCATTTTTCCTTTTCATATTAAAAAAAAAAATTAATCTAATTCTGACATTTAAACCAGAGAATGAAAACACCATGGGAGGAGGAGGCATCCATTTGCTGTGCGGATTTGATTGTTTAACTCTTATTTGTCCCCTGGAAAGACAATTCTAAATCTGTGCTGTAAATTCCACTGGTGCTTGAACAGCCATTCCTGGGCATTGATGGTGACCTGCGTGCAGGAACAGTTTCACACTCCCTGCACTGACGGGTGTAGGTGAGGGGGTCTCGAGTGTTCTCTCAGGCAGCTCGGGGCACAAAAAGTTCTCTCTGTGCATCAGATGTCCTGCATGACCAGAAGTTACACCTCCAAACTGACAGACTTCAGAGCACTTTCCAGTTTAAGGGTCCAAGTGCCTAGTTCAGCCTCACCCTGACAAATGTCATGGAGAAATTTTGGGACATACTACCGAAACAGAGATGTGGCTGCTCCAGGCAGATCCCGTACCTAGAGGACGGGGCTTTTGGGGTGTGCCACAGGTTAGGCACAGGAACTGAATAGTCCAGGTTAGTTGCAAAAGCCTTGTAAAGCCATCATTCCTCTGGAGGAAAAATCACTTTAAACCAGTAGTTATCATAATCTCAAAACAGGTGTCTGCTAAATGTGTCACCGAATCCAGCGATGACTCGCCCCTGGTTTATTTTCAGAAAGCTGGATTGCAAACAGTTACTTGAGCAGTCCCAGGAGAGTAACTGTTCCCCACTTCAAGTAGGGGGTTCACAATCTGGCTCAAATTAAAGCCATCTGGCAGCATTTTCTTATATACATTATGAGCCAGAAACCTTCACCCTCATCATGTTCAATCAGCAGGATGCCTAACAGAGAAGGGTACAATTCCACGTGAGTAATGGTGCTAGAAACTGTCCCCTGCACAACTGCGTGTCCGTGAGTTTTTCCGGTTGTAAATCTCTGACAGTCCCATCAGCCATGTGTAGCTCATTAATCTCCAGTGAAATGTATCTTTAGAAGCTGCCAAAGCAACTAGAAAAAAACATATAGCCTGGAGAGGTTGGTCTTTAGCTAAAGGTCAGATAGAATTGTACAGGAAGCCTCTAAAGAAAGGAATCTGCTGAAGTTGAAGTTGTAACAAATAATATGAGTTGCCGAGAAGCCACAACATTTACTTATACAATAAAAAAAATTCCTTTAAATGAACTGGACAGGTTTGCACAATTTTTGTGAAGCTAAAATTATAAATATGACCATACAGTTGAAAATCCACAGTAAACATTTCTGTTATATTTAGTTAACCCACAATTATTTGGGTCTAATAGCCCAGATTTTTGTCTGTTAAGGGATTTTATATGGATTTTGGACAAGGTTTCATTAACATTAGTCTGCTGGGTCACAGCAACTTGGAAGGTTCTTGATGCAGTGTTATCTGTTAGTGCCCTGGAAAATGGCACCATTCTTTCAAGGGCATTTGGTGGTTTGTAAGTGAACTGAATTTACCTGCTCATGGGTGACCTGACAGAAATCCTGTGCAGGAGCAAATCTTAGAGAACTCAGAACCTGAAGTGGAAGAAACCAGGCCTTTATTATTAGTTGAGTGGATTACAAAAGTATATTTACATTTTTGGTCTAATTAAGTACCTAATTCCATCATAGTAGCCTAAAGGATCCATATGCTTTTAAGAATCTGGCATTAGTTCCCTAACTCTGCTTTTTATGCTCTCCTTTGAGCACCACAGAAAGTGAGACCATATAACCCAGTTCTGTGCAGTCCTGCAAGGGTTTCTTTGAGGGCTTCAGTTGTTCCTCTTTCAAATCACTCCAGCCTTGGCTCAGATATAAACCAATCAGGTGTGGGCCCTCTGGTTTTGTTTCTTTTAACTGTGACTGGCTTAGGAAATGAGTGAGTATGGCTCAGGAAATCAGTGGAGCCAATATACAAGCTGTGATGTAGCAAACAGATTCCAGTATAAATGTGACTTTTAGAAATATCATCTGTACTCTATCCTCTGTTAGGTAGAGAGGGTTTGTTTGGACTACCCATCCAAACAGAAGAGATAGAAGAAGGTTTCTGTATTATCAGAGGCATTTGGTGTTGAAAGCTGAAAATACGTGAATCATTTCATTATTTTGGAATAAGGCTTAGAGAGTATCGAGCTGTTTGCTGTCCTGAAGATAATTTTGCTTGAAAAGAAAACTGCCTGAGAAGAAAAGCAAGCTATAACAAAAATTTTTAAACACAAACATATCTTTTCTGAAATAAAATGCTGCGTGTAACAGAGCAACAGCTGATGCCAGGATCCCAGCCTTTAACCGGTACTCATGTGGTAAACGTCTGCAAAGGACTCTGCAAATAACACACAGCCACTCTCTGCTGCCTGGAAGGAGCGTGTTCCCAGCCAGAGGAAGCTGTGTCAAGGTAGCAAATTCCCCCTCCACTGAGAGGCTCTCTCAGAGCCAGCACTGCCCAGGACACAGCTCAGGTCCCCTGGCTGGCAGCCAGAGCCCAGCGCCCATCGTGGTTGCCAATTCCTGACATGACGAGCACAACACAGCCCCAGAGATTTTAAGGTAATCTGGCCAGTAGAGCATTGCTCTACCAAAGGGTGGTCTCCGAATCAATCACAGCCTTTGGCAAGTCTGTGGCCTGACAATTGAAACCAGACATGTTTTCAGTTCATTCTTTGGGTTACTACTGTTCGATGGTGATTTACAAGAGAGTGTGAGCTATGGCAATCTCTCACGCAACTTTAGATATTCCCTAAACGAATGCACATTTAGAAATCTCCTTGCTCTAAAACAATGCCTCATAAGAAAAGAATATTTAAAGAGAAACCATCCTTAAAAATAGGCCAAGCTGCCTTTCTTCAGCATTCAGAAATAGAGGCACCACTTTGCAAAACACAGTGCAACTAACTCCAGCAGCAACAAAATCAGAAACTAAAATATGCTCTTCCTGTGTGATACTCTCAAGTTCATGGTTCTGGGGGGCACTCAATTTTCTCATTTCTGTCCTAGTTTGAAACGCTTTCAGAAGGCCTGTTCACAAGACAAACAGCACAGGGTTTCTCAGTAGCAGGCTGTATTGAATTACAAAATAAATAGGAGCAGAAGCAATATCAGCAGTAGCAGAACACTGCTATGTTAAATGTTTCTGTCTCATTTTAGACTAGTTGTGTCTCAGCACTATTTTCAGCATTTACAGTTGTGAAATACTCTGGAGGAAAAAAAAAAAGGCATTATAGAGGTGCTGATGAGTTTTAGTCTGTGAGGGTTGCTGCCTGGAGTGTACAACACGAGAGACTTCATACTGGACCTAATTTTATTTCCAGTCTTTCAAGGAAGATTTCTACATGTATTTGCAAATCTAGATTACTGAAAGTGTCAGAAGTGGTTCCAGAAGTTGGCAGTCTCCACAGAACAGCCAAGTAGAAACTCTGTGGGACTGGGTCAGACAGCAAGTTCTATTTTAAATACAGAGCTGGTCTTGCTTCTCCTTTTACCTCTATTTGAGTGTTTTATCAGCCATTTTAGAAAGCAAGAGAGACCGGGAGTTGAATTGAGAGAGAAACTTCATCTAAAGAAGAATTTACATGTAGAAAAAAAAGAAGATGAAGGATGTTCTGAAGTGCTCTAGCAAGGCTTTGCTGTGCTAAAATAAGGAAACAGTGCAGTAGGTGCTCCATATGGAGGTTAAAGTCCATTAATATTTACCACCCAAACAGCTCACACAAACCAATTTAGTCATAAATTAAATTATGTCATGCATGCTTCTGGTGAACAATACTTCCTAAATAGTAGCCATGGTATTAAAGCAAACAGAACTATATTGGGAGAGGAAAACAATGAACTACAGCACAAGCTTGGGAACAGCAGATCAATTCTCAGATATTAGTTGCAAACCAAACCTTCCTGTGAGTATGGGTGGCTTGTGGTGTCTTTAACCACAGCCATCTCCTTCCTTTTTATGCCCCATTATTCAGGCTTGATGGAGGTCTCTACACTGATGGCCACACAGGTTTGGACACACCCCTGACCATTCCCAGCAGAACTGCTTTTTTATGGCACAATAGAAAAAATTTAGCCAAAATCCTTGCACTAGTCCTTGATCTTAGTAGGTCACTACTAACCTGTCTGGGCTTGGCATCTCTGTACATCCACACAGGCAGCACTAACACTTTGACAAGTAACCTGTACCAAAAAGAAACCCTGAAAACCAAAGTGAAAGCGCCTGTTCTCTTCACTGTACCTTTAATCCAGTATTAACTATAGTCACAGTGAGCCTGCATTGTTGAGAAAAGAAAAAAAAAATTGGGTGGTGTTTTTTGTGGTTTGGTGGGTTTTTTTTTCAAGGAAAGGTCCATCTGCACAGTTCCATAATTGCTGCAGATTTGGCCTGGAGCAGCCACACACAAGGCCCTGGGCCAGCAGGTGCTGGCTGACAGCTGCCTGCAGGGCACTGGGGACCCTCCAGGTGTTCTGCTGCTGTTCTGCCTCTGTTCTGCTGCTATTTGAAAACCTGAAAGCTTTAGATTAATGCCCTAATGCTGTCACTGCCAACCCTTAAGCTTCTGCCTTGCCTCTGCAAACTAAGAGAGACTGAGCCTGTTCAGTAGTACAGGAAGTAACCAGAGCATGTGTATGAAGCTGTCAAAATGAAAAAAGATGTGTACATTGCATTTTGATAACCTCTAAACATTATGTTTTATTAGGGCTTTTAAAGAAGATGTAGGTGAACTTTTGCAGAAGACTTTCAGCCTAGAGAGTTCTCATATAAAGGATAAATTGCTAAAAAACCACAATTCTGTTGTATTTTTGTATTTTGCTTTTATAGTAAATAATGATGCAGTTTTCTTTTTGTGTAGTTTCCACCTTTAAGTTATACCAGCGTGCAAAGCACGTGTACAGTGAGGCTGCCAGAGTGCTGGAATTTCAGAAGATTTGCTGTGAAGCACCTGCCAACGCACTCCAGCTGCTGGGAGAATTAATGAAGCAGAGCCATATCAGCTGCAGGGAGATGTATGAGTGCAGCTGTCCTGAACTGGACCGCCTGGTCGACATCTGCCTGTAAGTTCTGACCACAAGGAAGAGTAATCGTCTGTGGAGAATACGGTTCGAATTGAGGAGAAAACATGACATCCTTGGCTATTGCAATCTTAAAATGAAAGTATTCTTGTCTCTTCTTACAAAATTAATCTCCTGCAGGGACATTACACGGTCAATTGTTTCCCTGCTGACATCTGTGTAATACTTTCAGATGAAAGCTACGGTTTATGGCTTTATTACAGATTTTGCTTTTGGACTGACTCATCGTCACAAGTGTTACGTTAGACTGTTGGCTACTTTTTTTTAAGTTGCAGAAGAAGTCATAAGTGGTTTTCTTAAAACATCATCTTACTTGTTCTATCTGAACTGTTACTTTTTCTTTGTTTCTTAGAATTATAGTGCCATAGAACGATTTGGGTTGGCAGGGACATTAAAGATCATTGTGTTCCAGCTCCCCTGCCATGGGCAGGGACACCTTGCACCAAACCAGGCTGCTCAGAGCCATCCAGACTGGCCTTGAACACTTCCAGGGATGGGGCATCCATAGTTTCTCTGGGCAACCTATTCCAGTGCCTCACAACTCTCATATGAAAGAATTTCTTTCCAATATCTAATCTAAATCTACCTTTTTCATGTTTCTTGACCATTTCAGTACTGCTGCCACAGGAGTTCCAGGGCATAAACAAGCTGTTCTGCAATCTTAGGTTGTCTTGAAAGTATAATGAAATGTAATGAAATGCCATTTGCATTTTTTCAATTAAGAAATAAGTTGTCCAGAGTGTTAGGTTGGACAGCATTTCACTGTTTAAGAAATAAGTGTGCTGTTACAGGGGTTGACACTCTGCTTCTCTCTGTGCTGTCTGAGCTTTCCACATCTAATTAAGTCCTCATCTCTGCCCCAGCATTAATCTTTCAGCTGTGATCCCTTCCCAACTCAGTTTGGTCATGAGGAAGTTTCAATTCAAAGCACATTCTCTGAGTGCCATTTTGTCCCTTCTCTTGTCTCACATACAGGTTGTTGTGGTATCAGGCTGTTGTTTCCATGGCTCAGCTGCAGGGGACAATGGGACCTGGTACAATCGAGTGTTAATCCACAAAGTGAAAACAAGCACTCAGTACTCACATCCTACACAGCACTTCATCCCTCCCACAGGGTCACCATCAAACAATGGACATATTTCAGTCCTTCCTTATTTCTCTTTTTCTGGTATATTTAATCACAGAACAGACACCTGATGCTACTTTTCATCTAAATCCAGTGCCTATAGAAGGAATTTAGTGGTTGGTGACCATTTTAACAATGGCTGGGGGAAATAAACACTTGCCCAGCTGGGCTGTCCTACCTCTACTCCCACAATGGCTCCCTGGTGATGCCACCCTCCTAACTTGTGCCCCTAATTGTTCCTTCTTCTACTTGGAGAAGGATGTGCTTAGTTTGGGAAACTCCCCTAAGCCAGAGCATTACTGGCCTGCTAGAAGGGAAATGTGGGGTGACACAAGGGTTTGCAGGCCTGGGTCAAGAAATGTTGTTTCACTCTCTTTTAGAAGCAGATATCCCATACTCTCCCTACGTCTTTTCAGTCTTGAAATTTCAATTTGAAGTTTAAAAAATTAAATAATTAATACCTTACCACCTTTACCAGCTTTTTTTTTTTTTTTTAAATTAACTCAGACAGAAATTAGTCCGTCTTAGAATGCAAATACGAATTTTCCAAGCATGCAATTTACCATGTGCACTTTCTTTTGCACTCATGGATTTTTTAAGTTGCAGTACCCATTTATCAGGTTTGTAAATCAGTAGAGTACAAAACGTGATTATTTAGGTGGGTCTGATTTCTTTTGCAGACAAGATGGAATGGCCTCTGAGGCAAAAAGCTACAAAGCTAAAAACTGAACAGAAGATTTCTGGACATTGACAGATTCTTTTGCATGTGGGATACACGTGCACTTTTTTGCTAAAACACAAAGCAGCCTGATAGCCACTGGACAGACTGACAGCAACTGAGCAGAACAAGTTTTGATTCTTCTCTTGGGACCCAGTCCAGGGTGTAACTCTGAGGTTGTGTTCAGTTTATTGTATCACATAGTGACCACATCATACAATAAGCTGTGACAGTCACTCAGCAGGGCAGTTCCACCAGAGTTATCCCAGCTGCTCAAAGGGAACTGCTGATCTGAGTGTGAGAGGGGAGAACCATCTCCAGGGTCAGCTGAAGACAGAGACTGAGCTCTACTGATTTATCAAAGATCTTGGGCAATGAAGTCTTGATCCCGTGCAAGGCATTGGCACTGCTTGTTCTGCACTGGCAGGGCAGGAGCTTTAAATTGACATCTGCATTGCTTTGTACTGCCCAGAGCTGGTCAGTGCCATCCAATGAATGCACTTGGCAGACCTGAGGAACTCATTCTGACAGGGCCCGTTCTCAGAAAAGCTGGGAGGAAACTGTCCTGCCCTGGACAGGGGAATACAAGCAGGTGTATGCTTAGGAATACAAGCCTAGCCAGATGTGCTCTGCAGTGTGGAGTTACCTGTGCCACATTCCAGTTAACACAGAGTTACCTGTGCCATGTTCCAGTGAACACAGTTACCTGTGCCACATTCCAGTTAACACAGAGTTACCTGTGCCATGTTCCAGTAAAGCAGCAAGCATGGCAATGACAGCCTCTGGCAGCAGGAAGCTCAGCAGGGGAATGGAAATTGTGTTCCCCATTTGTGCTGAGCTCTGTGCTTCCATGGTGACACAGCTCCAGCCAGCTCAGGCAGGGGGACACTGGCTGGCAGGCAGGAGCACAGCCACAGCACCAAAAGGAAAGCAGCAGTTAGGATTTTTTCTAAATTAAATTAAAATTCATCGGAGCATTTCAGTTCCAGGGAGCAAAATATAAAATATAAAGGAAAAAAGTGATGTGTGTGCCCATGTTACATCAGATTTCTGATCTACCAGCAGAAGAGCCCACAGTATATGATGGGCAGAGCTAAGTACCACAGTGGAGTGTCATTCACATGGAATGATTTCAAATTTATGTATTAAAATTATTTCATCTGTTTTTTTTTTATCATATTGTTTGCACAGAAAAAAGTAAATTGTTTTTTCATTATTCTTTACAGTCTTGTCCCATCAAGAATATTTCCTAAGAAATGCATCTTTCTTCTCTAGAAGTTTAATATTAAATCTTTTTCTAATTCAGTAATTAGATGTCTAAAAGTGTATAGCTCCTCTAGACGAATGCAGCTTAAGCCAGCATCTAATTTTTGGAAAAAAAGTGTTAACTTTTCTTAAGTTGTACATTAAAAAACCTAAAGAACATAAAATCACTAGTCACTCCAGGAAGACTTGGCTGATGTGATTATAGAAATGGTCAGGAACTACATAAATTACATTCTTTACTCACGATAATATACAGCCGCCCTGTAACTTTCAAAAGCTTTTCCAAAAATACATTCCACAGAATTGCCTGAGTCTACTGCTGCTCTCTCCTTACAAGGTTTAAACTGTGAAGAATAATCTGCATATCCAGATGTTTTCTCTTTTGCCTAGATCTTTATGCTTTACTGTATAACCACTGCCAAGAAAGAAAGGGATCCATACTTGCTGTGGTTTGTAGTGCTGAAAACAGTAACCACGAGTTGGTCAGTTGTTTTTTTCATTTTGCAAAGATTGAAGACTTGTGCTTTCTCTAACCCTCCTCATGCTCTTAGTAACTGGTTTACCTGTTAGTCTTCTAAAGCAGGTAACACAGCAGATTTACTAAACAATTAAGAGGAAGAGAATAGGATGTGAGCTCCTGAGTAAGTTAGGTACTGTTGAAAATATCTCAGTCCTTAGTGTTGCACATAATTTACTTTCATTTTCTTATTCTCCATCTTTTGGTGCTATAAATCCTGGTAATTTTTGTGTTCCCAGCCATGCCTCTTACATGACAGACAGATGAATCCTCTCTGACCACTTTAAAAAGATACAGATTGTACCTTGCATCCAGCTCATTACGGTAGCCAGCACTATTCTGCATTTTATCAAGACTCTTACCATTTCCACTGATTATTTTCTTAAAGCTGCAGAGCCTGCAATCATGGCATAATTTGAAATTTCAACAAAGCCAGAAACAGTTAAAGATGCTATTCAATGCAAACTAAATTACAAAGCAGAATAAGCACAATCCTCCCCATTTATAGATTTAAATATTACCATGTTAACTCCATGCTTTCTGAAAAGCGACTTCATAATTTTAAGTATTTCAAATTAACAATATTGCTCTGGGGTTTTTTTACATCTTAAAAGCACAGTTATTTTTAAAATGGACTACTACCATGTCTTGCCTACTGTTTTCATATACCAAACTATGAGATTTCCATTTTTACTCCCTCTTTTTATTCTTTTATTCTTCTTTCCTTTGCTGCACTGTTCATATTTTTACTCATTTACACCCCCATAAGCTAATTCTCTTAGTGTCCAGTGAAGGCTGGAACAACATAAACATGGGCAGAAGCAAAGGCCAGAACCTGGGGCTGGGAGCTGAGTGCCCCAGCCCTGGACTCCAGACACATGATCCTGCTCCCTGCCTTCCCTGCCCCGCGCTGCAGCACAGCCCAGCAGCACGCGGGGCCTTCCCACACATGAAATCCACACCTCCCACGGCGTGGGGTCAGCTCCCCATCCACAAGATTGTCTGCTCAGACTCCTCTCCAAAAAGATCCCAGTGCACAAGAGGAGTGTCTGGCCAGGAATCCCACTTTACCAGAGGGGTCCAGCTTAGTACTGAACTGATTAAAACTTTAATGAGGCTGTTTCAGACCTGTTCCAAAGACAACTTCCTTGTGTTTGACCTAGGAACCTCCCAGGCACCACATCTCCTGCAGACACAGAATTAGGTGCTCCTTCCTGGATCCATGTAGTACCAGGTACCTTTTTCAGATGGTGCATCAGTGCCCATCAGTTCCTCAGCAGCCCCAGGTGGCTGCTGCCACCACATTTGACACTGTTAAGCCACAGTATTTTGAAACACAGTGACTTCAGCTCTGCAACAGGCATATTTTCTGTCTACTTTATGCTTTATTTCAACTAAGTATTCGAAAATGACTCAGTAAAAATGAGGCATGAGCATGACCACAGAGAATTATGAAATCAATGAAAGGTTCAGAACAATTCTGAAGGGATTTCGGTTGCCTACCAAAATAAAAGCCAGACACCATCTGAAATACGAAGTTCTGTCTGAGGTAACAGACAAAATGAGTACAGACAGTTCATTTAACAGAGTCTGAAAAGTGGATTGGGCCTTATAAAGTCAATGGGAATATCCTTATTGATTGCAACTGATACTGGATTGGATCCTGCTCATTTTAGGAGGTTGCTCCATGGACTAGAAACTACCAAAATTGCATCAGAGAGTGAGTGGCTTACAGGAATAACAATAAGTAAAAAAAAACATCAACAGGAAATGCAGAATGAACATAAAATCGAGTCAATATGAAGGGTGGCACCACACAGACACACTGAAGAAAGTGTTTCTGTTCAAGAAGAGATGTGTGTTTAGAATCAAACACATATGCAAGTACTTGCTTGAAATATGACCTAAACCTCTACTAACCCAGCACTACACCAGATTCGTTTAACATAAAATGCACACATGAAGAATTACAACAGCCCACTCCAAATGAGCTGTCATTTTCCAGTGCTATTCACATGATCTTGTCTCTCCCTCTAACATATTCTAGGGCTGGTGAATTTCTCTGTGCATGGCTAGTGGAAACACATCAAAAGTAAGTTGTAAGTCAGATTAGATCTCCCACAAGAATAATATTTCAGATGAGTTTTCTAAATCTGACTCGTTCTGTTCTCACTAGGTTAGAAAAGCCCCAGAGTAACTTATTACATGGTCTTTTCCTACTTTTTCCAAGTAGAGATCAGGAACACAGGTAAGCAAACTATTGAAAACAATTCTAAATTCTAATGAGATGGCATCTGAGTCTTGCTGTGTAACAGCATGGGATTTGCTCTAGGACATTTCTAGCAGGCCAGTATCTTGAGGCTGGGAATGGTTTATATTTTGCATGTCATTTATTTGTCATTGTTCTTTCTGTTCACACTCCTTATTAAAAGCATTTTTTTCTTTTGGGACTACATTCATACTTTACCTCTACTGTCAGTCTTAAGTTCATGAGGTTCCTCTAAAGAGAGATACCCAACTATGTCCATTCAATATAAACAGAAGTTATGTGAGTTTATTTATACAGAGTGCAGTGACTCTATGACTTTTTGAGAGTCTCTGAACTCTCCTTTTCTTGACTGGCACGCTCAGCAGTCCTGCAGAAGCCTGTGAATCTTCAGCATGGTTTAGATCTGTCCTGGAAGAATAGAGCTATTTGTCTTTGCCACATTAGAAAATGGCTTGCATGCCTACATCCTGTGCAATTAGTTTATGAACCCTCTTTTGTTATTTTTGTCATGTATTTCTGTTTTCACTTCTGATGTCTTATGAATCTTGCTAACACAATTCCTTTCTTCTCCTGCTTTCTTCATCTCAGCTGTGCTGTGATCCTAAAAACAGCTGATACTGAAGCTTTAGAAAACAGGGGGACTTTTGGAATTGACAGAAATTACTATATTGCAGTTTAAGGCATCAGCACTTTTCTTTGGTCCAAAAGGGTAACTGCAAATTCCTGTAGTGTTACATACAAGCAAGTGAACATCAGAAAAGCTTGATGACGTGGGAATACTCAAAACACATCTGAGTTTTCTATAAAAATTTTATATATGACAGAGTATCTCTTTTTGGTTTATTTTACATTATTTTTTCCCCTGTTATTTTCTTTTAGGCAATTTGGGGCCATTGGGTCACGTCTGACTGGAGCTGGATGGGGTGGCTGCACTGTGTCAATGGTGCCTACTGACAAGCTGAACACTTTCCTAAAAAATGTAAAAAAAGCTTATTACCAAACGGATGGCCAAAGGTTAGCAGTGGATAATAACAGTCTGTTTGCTACCAAACCTGGAAGAGGAGCTTTGGTTTTTGCTGAGGCCTAAAGAACGTAAAAATTTTAAAGAAACTATGCAGGGCATGTAGAACTGGCAGTACTTCCCGTGCCACAGTACATGAACGCTTTTTCTGGTTTGTATTGTAATGAGCAGTTGCTATTATCAAAATGTATTTCTGAAGAAGCAATTAAAAGAAAGCACTTTGATTATAAAAGTCTTTTTTTCCCCATATTTAATATATCTTTCAGTATAAATACTGATTTACTAAAACCTACTGACAGGGAAAACTGCAATTGAAATAAAGATGATGATTTGTTACAGTGTCTTTCTCTTCCCTTTACTGTATTAAAAGAAAGATGAGGTGTGCAGTGAGCTGCCTCAGCAGAGGGAGGGCACCTTGAGGTGTTTGCAGGGCTGTTCAGTGCTTTTCCTCTTCGCATCCTGGACATTGTTTTGTTTGGAGTGTTCTGTGAAAAAGGAAGATTAAACTGAAGCATTCAAAAACTTGCTAGACATTTGAAGTTTCCTATTCTCCACAAGTAGGTTAATTACTGTTGTAATTAATTATAATATCGGAGGAGCACCTGCAGGCCAAGTAAAGCATTAGGAATACATTATGTTAAGTAGGACAACTTTTCTCCTAATGATATTTCTTAGGTATCTTTGTGGAGGTATGAAAGTTTCAACAAAAATGAATGCTGTTCATGAGCTGTATGATGTGACAGCTTAAGTGAATGAGCAAATAATGAAGTAAATGGATTTTGAGTTATCCAGACACCATACTCTCATACTTGAGTCCCAGCTGTGCATCTACGTCACAGAACATTTTCATTTTATGCAAAACTGTTATAAAGGACTAAATATGATCTGCTGACCATGTAAAAGAACAATTAAAATGTAGAAGAAATAATTAATGAGAGAATTTACTGAGTTGTACTAAGCAAGAGTAAGTTCTAAGTAGGACCAAGGGAAAATGTCATTGACATTACTGACAAATTCTGACCTTGCTACCATGTCTGCTCCTGCCATCTCCTTTAACTGCTCTGGCAGTACCGACCTACAGTTCATAACCTGCCTCCTCAGCAGGAGAAATAGTTGTGATTGCAGAAAGGGGACTGTACATCAGGATCCCCCAAAGATGTCCTAACCCTGCTCCCAAAGGGAAAGTCAGGCTCCTGTGGCCTCTCTCTTGCACAAACTTCCACTTCTCTGCTCTCTCCAAAGAAAACCAAAGAGAAGATTTGGTTGTGTCACAGCCCTTGCAGCCATAAAAGACACAGCAAGAGTTGGCCCTGGGCACGTTTTTGTGATGCTAAGCACAAGTTAATGTCCAGAAGTCTGCATCAAATTAGAGATCTCTCAGATTTTCTGTACATTACTCCTGCTAAACCAGGCCAAACCCAAATTCTCAGAAGCTCCTAATTCTGTGAGAAGGCTCTGCCAAACCTGAGCACAGCAGATGAACAACAGCCAATGCAAACTACCAGATCTTTTCAGGAACCTCAGAGGGGAATGTCGTAGCAGTAATATCAGTAGAGAAGATCTCTTACTTCTGACAACCAGGAAAAGTGGAACAGAGTACTTGGGTCAAGTAAATCAAACACTGAAGAGGAAAAGGATGGGCTCTAGGCACAGGGGGAGATGAAAAGACATTTTGGAGGGAGGACAGTTATAAGGATGCATGTGAGAAGAGGACAGCAAGGGCGAGGGGAAAGAGTTCTGAACAATTTGCAGAATTACAGAATGGGCTAATCTTACAACATTCCCTATTGCCATCTTTGAAACTTAATATCTTGTAACCCATTTCTAATGTAGTAGATATACTGTGCATTCAAATAAACCTGTAATTATAGGACCCCAAAAAGTAAAAAAAATCAGGTAAGTATCTTCAATAATGTGTAAGATAACCACAGATATTTTTAAGAAAATATTTCTATTGCTTTGTTACCAACTTCCTAATGAAATACAATCTGGAGCTTACTCCAGTGAATTCCAATTTATTAGCCTGTCATAAAAATGGAGTAGAATACAGTAAATACTAGGCCTTTCATTAAGATATTTGCATATAACTTTAGTTCAGCTGGATTAATGGAAACAGTAATCAGCATATGAGCAGAATAAAAATATAGTATGGGGTTTTTTCCTTCTTCTTTTTTAAGTCGAGCATGACACACAAGGTCATAGAATCTTCCCCACAACACGCAGGCTGCAGTACATTTCAAAAATCTTCTGACAATGAATCTTATAAATTATATTCTCATAAACAAAGAAAAGGAAACCAAATATAAAAGAAAACAGCACAAAAGAATAAACCCAAAAGTTCTAAACTTCTGATTAATCTCTTGCCCAGTAAAATTTAGACCTAACTTCCATGGAAAAACCTACAGAATTCAAACTATTTACATAAAAAGGGCACTCGGGCATTTTTATTTTCTGACTATATATAGGAAGTAAATATTTCTTTTTAAACAGAAAAAAAAATATGTTTTGGGGTGGTTTTTTTGCTTGTTTTTTAAACCTTTAAAGACATGTTTCTACATAATAGTAAAACTCCCCAATGATCAGATCATGAGAATGATAAGGGGCAAAGATATTAGAAGTATCTCTAACAATAAAGGAAGAAAATTTTGATGAAAATGTCTAAGTCTAGAGCAGAAGCCCACGAGCATATTGCCTAAGCAAGACTTTCCAGGTCTGTATTTTTAGTAGCTTTTCCTGACTACCTTTTAAAAATCTCTTCTATAGCTAGAGTAACACTGATTGGTAAATCAGATCACAGAATTGTTTAGGTTGGAAATGACCTCTAAGACCATCAAGTCCAACCACTGAGCCAGCACTGACAAGTGCACCACAAACCCTGTCCCCAAGTGCCACATCTACACATCTTTTAAATCCCTCCAGGGATCACCATCACTGCCCTGGGCAGGCTGTTCCAGTGCTTGACAATCCTTGCCATGAGGAACTTTTTCCGAATATCCAATCTAAACCCCCTCTGGTGAAACTGCTGATCAATGATGGAATGGCTCAGTGAGCAATGGCTCAGTGAGCACTTCCGCCAGGTCTCTTGGTTCTCTTGAGTGGATCCATCCGGCCCCAGACACTTGTGAGTGTTGAAGTCAAGTGGCAGTGAAATCACTGACAATCTCCCCCTGGATTACAGGTGTTTCATTCTGATCCCTGGCCCTCTCCTCCAGCTCAGGGGGTTTGGTACCCAGAGAACAACTGCTCTTACTATTAATGCCTTCTCTGCCTCAGTCTTTAAGTGCCTCTGGCATTTCCTCATCCTTTGTGTCTATGTCCCTGCACCCAATAAAGGTTAGCACAAGCTATGATTATCCAGGGAGTGTAATTTTATCTTAAGGCCTGACTGTAATTCATTCAATCAGGAGTTTAATCTTAGCATGCAGTAAATGGGCTCTAAACATTTCCAAAAAGGATCTGGAATGGAGACACTGTTAGACATCCGGGTGCAGCATCATTGCCTGGTGCCATATTAATACCCTGTATTAGGGTAATCCCACTGACATGTATGTCTTCATCACTGCATTTGCTGACTGTGTCTCTTACACAGGAACACGCTCATCCTCTGAAATAGCACGAGAGCAATTTTACCATTCACTCGATGGGAGGGGATCACAACAGTGCATTTGATGTTTGCTGTCTTGGACACAGCACACACACGGACATATGGCAACCTAATATATAATAATTACTTACATAACATTTTCGGGAATATTGGTTTCTAGTTAATATGATCTGAATGCCAACTTTTATTTTAGCAACTGCTGAGTACTTATTTAGTATAATCCTTCTGAAATTCCTCTCTGAGTCCATGTGTCTCTTTAATAACATCTTGATGTGTTGGAGCAACTGCTTCACTACAGCTTCAGTCAAATGAAAGATTTGTATTTTCAGCTAACTACGAAGCTTATTTGTGTGCTAAATCCCAACTAGATCTAGTTAAAGATACACAACATTCACAAGAGTATCCTGTTCTAAAAAAAGATACCTTGCAAATTATAGCTGTTCTGGGCAGGACTGACATAGTGCTCCCCGATTCTTGTCATTATAAGGTTCATCAACATAAAATGACCTCTCTAAAAGAACTTATACTAAAAAGTACCAGTAGCATGAAAACTGGACTGGTAAGACAATGTCATGAAACCTGTGCTGTGAATCATGCAGCACACTGAATTGAGATTGAAGGCTAGGTATTGATAAGAGACTAGTTTACAATGCAGAAAGGACTACAGTGGGGAATGTAAAACTAACTGCAAATTGCTCGCTGTGATACAGCCCTGTTTGACAGATTTTCCCAGTGCACAGAGAACTGGCAGAGGAAGCAATGGCAAGCAATGCTGCCGACCCATCTGTCCTCTCTCAGCTCTGCAGTTCAGCCAGTTCTTTCATCAAATGCTCTTCTGAGATTCAATATCTCATAAAACAGAGACAAGAGATTAATTCTGGTACTGATCTTATCTCTCATACTCTGCCCTGTGTTTTTGGACTTGTGTCACAAGTAACTGAGATTCTCTTACACACGACAGACCACAGCCTCTTGTGACAGCTCTGGGTTCACAGAGACAGCTGTCACTGTGCCCAGGGTGGGCAGTGCCCTGGGCTGCAGTGCTGCCCTGCCTTGCACGGCTGGAGCTGCTACACTGCAGCCACTGCTCCTTCAGCACGTGTTTTTCCTCTGGTCACCTATGACTGTTTGACCAGTGAAACCTGTGGGTGAATGTTTTCTGGAGCTCCTGAGGCCTCTGCAGGTTTGGTCACTGATTTCAGCATAAGGTGGATTTACCCATCCCATACTCCCTGCAAACAGTTCAAGCAATACAGTAACAGGGAGAGTTTGCACATAGAGCTAACGTGCCCAAATCTCACGAGTAATTTAAGGCACTCAGACCAAATTCATCATAGGCATCAGACCTAACAATGGAAAAACTGTAGACAAGTAGAAAATGTTTAAGCTTCAGATGAGAAGAAATTAAGGAGCTTTCAGAATTAATTGATCATTAAAATGCTTGAGATTGATTTCCAATAGCAATGCTTCCTCTACAAGCAACAAACTGAGGAAGATTCATACAAAAGCACTGGCTATACTTATTGGATTTTAAGTCTAATACATTTTGAGAACTGCTATCATCTTCTAAACATTTTCTTTGTTGGCCAAAATTACACATTAATATTAAAACAAAAAAAATTCTCTTCCCACTGAAGCACAACTTTCTGCACTTGGCACATGAGAATCAAATAAATCAGTAAAGATTAGATGTACTTCAGACTGAAACACAACTAGTGCCCAAGCAGCTGTC